CTTCAGGGGCCATCTGTTAACGTGCTGCTTACAGCAACTTTCCAGCAACTGAAACCTATTAGGGGCCTTCCTTCAGAACAATCAGGAGGACCCCGGGGAGTCATCCAGAGAGGGAAGTGGTTGCTTAATGTTATTGTCTTGGCTAAGAAGCAGGGAAAACAACTAAGCTAAGAGGAATTCAGAAAGGGGGACCTCTGAGAGTCATTTTGGGTCCCGGCCCAGGGCCTGCAAACCCACACCTCCCCAACCTCCTAATCCCTTGTGACCAATCGGTTGATGCCTGTGCTCAGTGCTTTGCGGAACCCCAAGCCTTTCTTACCTTCAACGTGACGACTCCTTGGCGCCTAGGTCACTTGGATCTGTGAACTCCCAACTATGTTAGAATTCAGACTCGGAGTGGAGGCCAGACGGTTCTCGATTGGAGAAATCGCCCACGTGCACATTGAGAGCTTGCTGTATGCCAAAGCTGGCTTTTCCCGCCACACATGTGTAATCTCAGCTTGTTTTCACACCGTCCCAATGGAATATTTTTACTATCCTTGTTTCGCGGATGAGGGAATTGAGGATCTGGTTGTTTGAGTTGTTCAGGGCTGGCAGAACTAAGATTCAACCCCCAGCTGTTTGATTTCAGAGTTAATGCAAAAAAAAAAAATTCCTGCAAATACCCTATTTTGTCTTTCATCATATAATTATGAAAACTTCTTAATGGTTTTGTGGGCATTTTTAAAAAAATTCACAATTTGCAGAAAGCAGATTTTTTTTAAAAATTTGTTTTTTTTCCCCAAAGGCATAGAAACAAAAAGCTCTCTTACCCACAGATTCACTGCCAAAATACCTTTCATTGACTCTGGCTGAGCCAGGATGAAGCTGGACGATTTCGGTATAGATCTCCCCTGTGGGTTGCAGGGACTCCACTGCGTGAGCCCTCACTGGCTGCCTCCCAGGACTGACATTAGCAGGAAGCTGGACTTGGGAGTGGAGCAGGGACTTGGACCTACGTGCTCTGGTACGAGGTGTGGGTGTCTTAATTCACATGTTTCATGCTATACCAAATGCGTATCCCACCAAAGAGTTTACCTTTTTTGTTGTTGTTGTTGTTTTTCTTACCACGAACTCAAATATATAATAATGTGCGTCACACTCCATGTGCTGATCCTAGAGGAAAAATGAACTTCCTGTGATGATTCTAGAAGGTAAAAATAGAGGCTTCCTGCTACTATGCCTAGGAAGGCAGCAGACCTGGATCAAGTGCTTGGGCTCCTGTTACCTAAGTGGGAGACCCAGATAGACACCTAGGCTCCTGGTTTTGGCCTGACCCACCCTAGCTGTTAGTCATTTAGGGGAGTGAATCAGGGGATTCTTTCTCTGTTGCTCTGCCTGTCTAATGATGTGTGTGTGTGTGTGTGTGTGTGTGTGTGTGTGTGTGTGTGTGTGTGTTTCTAAAAAGTAAAACTAGAAAGCTGTTGGTAAAAGCGCTGTTTTGCCATTGTGTGTTCAGCATTACACTGGGCACTCCATGGTATTTGCTGATGGCACAATCACTGCCATCTGAACTGGTTCCCTAATTGTGATGATAATGACTGGGATTAACCCAGCTCAATGGACATGTGACAATAGCCTTCTCTAGAGAGCCAGGCGTTTCCAGCACAAGATGATCTGACGAAGCTGCTGTGTTCTCAGTGGTTCAGTGGTCCTCGGTGTGGAGTGAAGGCAGTCACAAGAGGGGATCCTGTCTGTTTGAGAAGAGGCAAAGCTCACTGACCCGGGCAGCAACCTTCTCTGACCACCTGCAGGCTTCCAGAGTGATGGGGACCCAGGTGACTCTGTTGGTTGAATATTTAAGGACTTGTGAGTCGATTAATTGCAGGGAAATAGGTGTCTGAATACATGTTCTATCCACAACAGTGAAAAAAAAATATATGATAATAAGGCACAAGCCCATAAAGTACTGAGCAGGATAAAGATAATGTGATAGGACGATGCAACGGACTGCTCCTCAGGGCGGTGATCTTGACCCAGGCTTACCATGTAGGCAAATCCTAGAATACTACATGCTGAATGAAAGAGTGTAGTTGCACAAGGCCGCTTGGCTGTGTGATTCTATGGAGAAGGAGCACCCAGAATAGCCAAAGGCATCATCTGTGAATCCAAAGACCCCGGGGCAACGAGGGAGGCTAAGCCAATGAGGGTGGTCCGCAGGGGCTGGGGGGACGGGTAGAGGCTGCCTACTGGGTAAGGACTTCACTTTCAGGGTCCTGAACATGTTCCAGAACTTGACAGGGATGATGAATGTCACCAACCCTGTGAGTGAACTCAGTGCCATGCATGGTATACTTCCAAGCTGGAAATTGTATGTGCTATATATTTTACTACAATTTTAGCCACACATAGAGAATCAACCAACCAATGGGGTGATTGGTGCCTCTGATGGAAGTCCAGCTACGTCTCCTTGGAGTAAAGTCCCTAAGAGGGCAGGAAGAGGGGAGGCCCTCTTGGAATGGGGTGGGAGAAACAAAGATGAAATAAAAGCAATTAGGCTGGCACACCAAATTAAGTCAACACCTTTGTCTCAACAGATCTCATATCTGAGCAGTGGTCTCAGTTCTGGATGTTCCACTTCCAATCCAACTCCGAGCTGATGAGCCTGGGAAAGCAGAGGATAGGCCGAGTTCTCAGATCCCTGTACCAAGTGACAGAGGTCTGAATAGGGTTCCACACTTCTGGCTTCTGGCAGGCCAAGCTGTTATGATCATCTGGGAAGTGAACCAGTGGATGGAACATCTGTCTTTTCTCTCTATTATTTGAAAAAGTAGAGTTACTAGAGAGAGAGAGAGAGAGATTTCCTACTTCCTATCTGCTGGTTCACTCCCTAAATGGCTACAGAGGCAAGGGCTAGGTCAGACCAAAACCCAAGCCAGGAGATTGCTCTGGGTCTCTCAAGTGGATGAGGATCTGCTTTTCCAGGCATGTTAGTAGGGAGCTGGAATAAGCAGTGGAGTAACTGGGACTCAAACCAGCACCCATGAGATGTTAACATGCTAGGTCATAGCTTAACCCCGCTAAATCACAATGATGGCCCCTAAATAAATTTTTAAAGAAACTATGAAGTACTTCAAAATATAAAAACTTACAAGATAAATTTATTTAAAAAGAAAAACCTCAATTCTCACATCATTCCTGCCTTATAGCTTTGTTTTTGATGATTAACATTTATAAACTACCTATTGCCTGAGATATAAATGCTTAATAAACTATAATAATGAAATAAAAATTTGAATAAAACTATAGCAATAATATAATATTGGGATCTATAGTAACAATATTACATGCTACATGGTATATACTAACAGCTGTAGCAATATATTGTAACACTATATACAGTACAGTAATAAACACTGTAGTAATAAAACTATATAGCATACACTGTAACCTATGCCTATAATATGTATTAATACTATATCTTGTAGTAATAATTCTGTATACTATATAAGTCATGGCACATACCATAGCTATTGTAGCATATGCTAATACCATAGTTACAGTAACAAATAAAAACAGTTACTGTAAACTCAGTAGCTAGCATAGTCTAGTGTGAAGTAGGCACTCAGCCAATGGGTGCTAAAGGGAACTGTGGCTAAGATATTACCTACAATTAATCTAGAACTGTGCTGTCCGAGCATGTGAGGGTGCTGAGCACTTGAAATGCAGCTAGTTTCCATTGAGATGTGCTGTAGATGGAAAGATGCAGACTACAGCCAAGACTGCACACGGAAAACAGAAACATATACATAATTTTTAGAGTGCTGTGATAAAATCTGGGGTCTTTCAATTTCATTAAGATATATTGTTAAAAGTAACCCCAGTTGTTTTTGCTTACAGAAATGAGACTGAGTAAATCTAATGCCATAAGGGCAGAACTTCATGCACTTTTATGCGTGCCTACACAAGGAAATAGGGGGTGTACTTCAGGAGTGAAAATGCGTGCAGAGCTGGGGGCACCTTTTTTTTATTTTTCTACCAAGGGCCACTGAGATATTTGTAGCATCATTCGCAGGCTGTGCAAAATGATCACCTTGAAATGGAGCCTTCTGCAGAGTGAATGACTCTCAGGTTCCATGTGTGGTGACCTTGTAGGACCAGACCAGATTGCTGCAGTCCAGCTCCAGCCAGGTTCAGAACTCCCGAAGGGTGCGTGGAGTAGACGTAAGAGAAAATAAAGGGAACACTACAATTTCAGCGTCAAAATGGACAGATGCAAGAAAGCTGCCCCCTTTATACAGAAACCCTCACAGGCTCTGGCACAGACTTTTGACGTCATGGTCAAGTGAGTGCATCCAAGAATAATTCTGCTGTTTGTTTCACCTAAAAAAAAAAAAAAAAACAGAAATTCCAACTACAATTCTTATTCTATAACTCAATCCTGTGCCACAAAGAAAAGGAGAACCTAAAGATCAAGGGAAGAATGAAACCCTAAACACAGATCCCTCGATTAGCATAAGGTCGATGGGAACAGCCAAGACAGCACGAATAATAAAAGGCCCTTTTGTGAGATGTTATTATTGACATTTAACCTCCAAGCTCACCTTGATAGTAAAAAGCTGACCCCACAGCAGCAAACAATGTCTGAATGGACTACAGCTCTTCCGCAGGGTGGTCCGGCGTCCATGCAAAGGAAGGTGGAGCTGCATTCTGGTGGTTGTAGAGACATCCACTGGGGCCCTGCCATACAGGGAAAGTTCCTTGCGGCCCTGCCTGCAGTGGATCGATACTCTTCACACCTTCGTGTCCCCCACATCCACTGCACGGACCCCAGCAGCAGATGACATCTTGGACACAGGCAAGGCAGGGCATTCCCCACCTCTGTTAGAACCCTCACTCCCGTGAACTCCCAAAGTACACCCAGCTGGTCAAGGACAAGATTTTTCCGCGTAGGGTTCATGTGCTAACAAGGCACAGGAGCACCTAACAAGGGGACTTTAGCTTCTCCTGGCATTTTCCAGGTACGCTGCGATCCAGAGATTCAAGAACTGCGTCAGTGGCAGAAAAAACTGCGCGAGGAAAAGCACGTCCGCCAGCGTGTCCGCACGTTCTGGGCCAAGCAAGAGCAGAAAGGTCAGTGCGCAGGCGCTGGTGAGCCGAGACTTCCGGGGCTGGGGGAGGCAGGTGCACTGCAGGTGCAGGCTCTGCTATGGAGCGACACAGCTCATGTCACTTCCAAGGGGACAAATTCAGGGTCATCTGCATCTATAGGCTTTTTTTTTTTTTCAAAGACATCCCAAATCATCTGTTACTCTAGAAGTACAAAGTCTACTGATATTAAAAATAGCTCTTCCGCTAGGTTTTTGATTGTGTGTTTGACCTTGAGTGACACTTTAGGCTTGCCATTTGGCCTTTTCCTAATGCTTCATTTCTTGATGTTCACCTGACAGGGTCATGATGTGGCCAGCTGGCCGATGAAGCATTATTTATAAGCCTGTCTGTGAGAGACTGGTTTTGACTTGGCAGACAGAACATGAGGGTGCTTGGGCAAATTGGTGGAGAAAGGGAATTTCAAAATATGCACACGTTTCCCCTTAAGCTTCAGATTGTACAGCTTTCTCTAAGACCTTGTGATAAATCTCTTTGAGGTTGGTGTTGCGGCACAGTGAGTTAAGCTTCTGCTTACAATGCCAGGTGTCGCATGTTGGAACACCTGTTTGAGTCCTGGCTGCTGTTTGTTTCTTTCCTTCCTTCCTTTCTTTTTAAAAAAATATTTTATTTTTACTGGAAAGTCAGATATGCAGAGAGGAAGAGAGATAGAGAGGAAGATCTTCCACCCATTGATTTACTCCCCAAGTGGCTACAATGGCTGGAACTGCGCTCACCTGGAGCCTCTTCCAAGTCTTCCACACTGGTGCAGGGTCCCAAGGCTTGGGCCATCCTCGACTGCTTTCCCAGACCACAGCAAGGAGATGGATGGGATATGGGGCTGCAGGGATTAGAGTCAGTGACCATATAGGATCCTGGTGTGTGGAAGGCGAGGACTCTAGCTGCTGGGCTACTGTGCTGGGCCCAAAATAAATAATTTTTAAAAGAAGAGGTTTTGGGGGTCATGGGATATGATATGCAACTCATTCCTACATGAGTTTGAAGGAAGATAAGGAGTAGTACACTGGCAGACATATGCAGGCACACAGATATATACACAGAGAAAATGGTAAGGAGAAACGACAGGATACAAAACCTAGGGTACAGCTAGGAAGTCCTGGCACAATCCCGGCAGGTCTCCTCTATGCTCAAAATGATGCCAACATTACCAGTTAACAGAACCCCAGAACTGCTGACTTCATCGCTATGGGATGTACCCATAGGCTTTTCCAATGGGGAGTGGGGACCCCAAGGAACGCAGGATTCTCTGATTGTTTTGAGCTCTCTTTAAAACCACATGGCTGGATCTGGCGTGGTGGCCTAGTGGCTGGTCCTCGCCTTGTATGTGTCAGGATCCCATATAGGCGCCAGTTCATATCCCACATGCTCCACCTTCCCTTCCAGCTCCCTGCTTGTGGCCTGAGAAAACAGTTGAGGATGGCCCAAGGCCTTGGGACCTTACATCCATATGAGAGACCCTGAAGAGGCTCTTGGCTCCTGGCATCGACTTGGCTCAGCTCCAGCCATTGTGACCACTTGGGGGCCTTGACTTTCCAATAAAAATAAATAAATCTTAAAAAAAAGAAAGAAAGAAAGAAAAAAAAGTAGCCTTCCGGCCTTCCAGTCATCGGTGCCAGAGAAGAGATGCTTGATCATGCTGCTGTCATCTGTTGGCCTCGCTGTTAATTCTTTCCCCACTGGAGTGTAAGCTCTGAGCAGCTCACTCCCTACCACAGTGCCCGGCATGATGGGAACAGCAACTTCATACAAGGGCTCTTGCAAACAATGGTGGGGAAATTTGACAAAAAGATAAGTGATGTTGGTGCAAAAACATTTTGAAATCCATGCCTAGGTTTTTTGGTAGCTTAGATTTTCCGTGAACTTTTGAGGACCCCTGATTATTAGGTGCATGAATACGTGAGTGGAATCAGGGGGCTCCTACACAGGAATACAACACAGGAAGTACCTGGGGGTAGAGCTCATCAAGTTGGCAGCCTCAGTGCCCACCCCCAAGCCCCCAGCTATTCCTTTCTGGTCCAACTGCCATTTTGTGTCACTCCAGGGCTGTAATCCTTGGAAAGGTCAGCTTAAAGCGCAATTGCTTGTTCCGTAGTCTCTGGAGTTGATTTGCTGTGGTATGATTGGCTGACTCGGGAGCTAGGAGAGTGGAATGGATTGAGTGTGAGTCCCCAGCCAGGAGCAGAGGGGCAGCGTGGAAGCAGTCCCACCCCAGCCACCTGCTGCTTGTTGCACTTTGGCTTCCTAGGCCTCTCGTGCTTCTCAGCAACAGGGGGTGCTCAGTAAATGCCCCAAGTGCAAGCCAATTCCAAGTTCTCATGCTACGACTGTGAAATGGCAAAAAAGCAGCAATTAATTCTAAAGACTGTCTCCAAGTTTGTAGTCAGTTAAAAAGGCCGTCTTGGGGACTGATGCAATAGCTCAGCAGGCTGTTCTTCCACCTGCAATGCTGGCATCCCGTACGGGTGCTGGTTCATGTCTCACTGGCTCCACTTCCAATCCAGCTCCCTGCTGATGGCCAGGGCAAGCAGTGAGGATGGCCCAAGGCCATGGGACCCTGTACCCACATGAGAGACCTGGAAGAAGCACCTGGCTGCCAACTACAGACTAGCCTAGCTCCAGTCAATGTGGCCATTTGGGGAGTGAACCAGCAGATGGAAGATCTGTCTCTTTTCCCTCTCTGCAGCTCTGGCTTTCAAGTAAGTGTGTGTGTATATATATGTATATGTATATATATGTATATATGTGGTTTGGGGCAATTTTGCATTGATTTCCTCTGAGAGAGTCCAGTCCCTCTTCATGTTTATCTCATTCACCAGATTGCTCCACACCCACCCCGGAACCTGGCACAGAGGGGTGAGCCAAACATATTTGGGGGCCGAAACTCTGGGCTTTAGGTACAAATGAAGAAGCAGAGGCCCAAAAAGGTCACAGGACTTTCCCAAGATCACAGAACAGTGGAAGGTCTAGGACAAATGCCCGGGCTGGCCTCCTTCCATCTCCACCCTCTGTCCTAACATAAGCCTCAGAGGCAAGAGAAAGGTTCTGCCATTCAGAACTTGTCCAGAATCCTTTGGACCATGACACGCTGCCTGCTCGGTTTCTGGTTACCTAGGATGATTTTGTTCATCAGACACCGGAGTACTTCCTATTTACAATCTCTGGAGCCTGGCAGGGTGACGGTTTCAAGAATGCATTTTTCCTAGCCAAGGTGACTGTCACTCTGTCATTCCCCCAACCCAAGACCTCCAGTGAAGCAAGTTGTAAACAAACAGCAAGCACATGCAAGTTCTCCTTTACACTTGCAATCAAGAAGGACCAAGTGATCACAAATTCATGCAAAAACTGTAACCCCTGTATGCATAAATGCAGCAAGCATCATTTATTTCAAAAAAAAATCTTGCCATTTTAATCATGCTTTGCTCTGGCATTAACGGTATGAATGCATCTTGCCAAGTCCATTTCTTGGAGCAAACCTGGGTGCAGTCAGAGGGTCTGAGGCAGAGAGAGATGCTTCAGCTGTTGGGGCAGCAGCAGCTTGCTCAGGGCCAGCCCAGCTCATGTTGCACCGAGTCAGAGGCCTCCTGGTCCCCACTGGCATTTCCCTCTGGGACAGAAATGGTGTGAAGTTGTCCTCAGGTCCCCAACCACAGGGACAGATGCAAGAATTATTTTTAAATGCGCGTGGCAGGAATTCCAGCCAGTGTTATTTGGAAGAAGATGCCGAAGTCATTTTTGAGATGGGATCAAAAATCCTGTCTCGATGAAGGGTGTATTTTTAACACTATAGTCAGGAATGGGTTTTCAAATGTGCTTTTCACTTGACCGTCTGTAATTAACTTGGAAATCTAGTATGAGCAGGGAAAAGAGAGATCATAGAAATTGTTCCCCCTAACGTTAGAGTATGTTTCTTTAAAACAGACACATGTGTACCTTCCAGCCTCAGATAAGGTTCTCATATACCGGGTACTTCAAAAAATCTACAGGAAATGGAATGAAAAGTGAAATCTGTTTTGGTGGGGAAAATTTAAAATCCATCCATTAAAAAGGTCATGGAAAAAATGCATCCTTTATGAAAAAGAAAATACTATGTTTAGATTTTTCTTTTCTTTTTTTTTTTTAAAGCTTTTATTTGAAAGGGAGAGTGACAGAAACAGAGACACACAGAGAAAAAAAATTGTTTTCCATTTGCTGGTTCACTTCCTGAATGGCTGCACACAGCCAGGGCTGGGCCAAGTTGAAGCCAGGATCCTGGAACTCCATCTGGGCTTACCATGGGGGTGGCAGAGGCTTCCAGATTGGAAGGAAAGCCACTGGGACAAGAACCAGCGCTCTGATGTGCGATGCTGGGGGTTACAGGTGGCAACTTAACCCTTCTACCACATCGCTGGTTCCTATGCATGGATTCCAAAAATGTTTTGCACCAAAATAAACTTGTTTTTAAAATTCCATTTCCATTAAGTTTTTGAAGCCTGCTTATAACTGCATGTGTGTTGTTCTTTAGCTGTGTACCAAAAAAAAAAAAAAAAAAAAAGATACCCTTTAAATTCCACTTTTTGATGTTTTGACAAAAAGAGCTTGTTGGAAAGAAGTTTTACCTGTGAAAAGACAAGGATTGCTTTCTTGCTATTGGCTTACCTATTTATTCCCTGCCTTAGTCTAAGCAGGGCTTGGTGTGGTCACGGACATAGGCGCTATATAATCATTTTAGGTAAACATGGAAATTAAGGTAATGAAGCCACTAAAATATTAAGTGAAAATAATCTAAGACCTATATTTGCTAGAGATTTGTTTTAAATTTTAAAATAAAAGCAAATGAAAATTCATCATATATACTTATAGTATACATACATTTATGTATGTTGGGCAGGGGTGGTTAAGGACACTTGAAGATCTTACCTTTTTTTTTTTTTTATCAAACTCCAAACAAACTATACTGTGTTATTAACTGTAGCCAGCATATTCTACATTAAATCTTCAGTACC